GTCTTTTAAAAATGTATATCTATGTACTATTATTACTATTTCCACGTATATCAATTATTATTATTAAGAGATTATCGAATTGTAATAAGATTTTCTAAGGTGATCGGTTTGCCAATTGCCATATATCATTGGAATTTGGAGAATTGACTAGTGTCAATTGTAATCTGTCAAGTGTCAACACACATTTGTAAAATAGTTAAATCAGCAAATATAGCACAGAACATTATGACTTCATACTGAATATTGAAACTTGTCCATTTCAGTAATAATTTATCGTCTGTGCGGAAAGAGAAACGACGCCGACTTGTACTTGTGCTGGCTAGTGAACTTAGTGTTACCAATGCATATAAGTGTGTTTCTTATTTATAATTACATAAAAAATACAATTCAAACAATTTAAGTGATGAAATTTAGTGAAGTGAAGTTAGTGTCGCCAAATTAATGAACATACATATTCCAAATAAGTCATGACTTAAAGGTCTATGTTACCAGGTCATAAAATTAAAAAAAAAAAAAAACGCCGACTTGTCGTGTTATCATTTATTCGAAACATTCTATTCATATTTTTATTTTATGTAACAGTGTTGTTAATATTACAATAAATAATAGTTTAAAAAATTAAAAAACACGCTTTTAAAGCACATCAAACTAACAAGTGAAAAATAATTCCTAATTTAGGCTGAAAATGGTAATGAACAAAAAATACTGGTATTATTGTGAAAAAGCGTGGGTTGCTCAATAGACGAAAAATATGGCACAGAGCGCCTTCACTTTTTAGTTTGATGTGCTTTAAAAGCGTGTTTTTTAGTTTTTTTAAACTATTATTTATTTTTTAGTTTATTTTTTTTTATTTGTTTTTTTTTTTTTGGGATTATTGCATTGTCATCGATCTTTGACAGGTGCGCAAAGTTTGAATTAAATCTGTCCGTTAAAAGTGGGTCAAAATCGAGTCCGAAGGAGTCGGTTACATACATACATACAGGTGAAGCTAATATAAAGCGTGTAAAAAAGAAATGGCAACCTCAGTCCTCACATCTCTTTGGGGTATTGCTGGGTCTTAAGGGCATTTTTCTTTTTTATTTTTATTTAACAATAACATAAACTCATCACTAGCTACTATAGCTACTACCCTTAATAAATATCACCACCCCTTATAAAAAAATATAAGTCATTTGCGATTCAGAAATAAATATCTGCAACCTTTACTTTATACATAATATGTGATATGAGTGGCCATACTACCCGTAGGCGTAGTCAATAGTCATATTAAACAGTTTCTGATTATCAGAATTATATCACATAAATTGTAGCCTATACACGGGCAAGCAAAGCGTCATGTGTTTATTTCAATATATGTATTATTATACGTATTATTTATCTATCAACTCGATACACTCTAGCTTGTAATTTATTATTTCCTAATAATACTAATAGTATAAGCCAGATTTTAGTAGTTACAGTTAATTTTTACACATGTTAACAAACAACTTTGTCTACCATGACCTATTTTTGAGTTTTCCACGACATTTAGTTCTGATAGCATTTACTAAAGAATATCCTCTCTTGGTTAGTCATTATCTTCACATGTAACAATCGTATTATATTAGGTGACAGGCGCAGTGATATTTCCAAAATTATTTTTACCATGCAAATCTGTTCAACATAATATACGAATAGCGCCAAAACTTAAAACAAACTGCACATGCGCTAAATCTGGCGCAGCCGCTCTGAGGTGAAAAAGTGTCATAAATCCACAAAGCTAAAGGTAAGTAAGGAAAATTGGGACAGAAGCAGGCACTGGGTAGAAATACCATCAATAAGGCTCATTCGACTTCCGCACTTCACGCCATGTCAGTTTAATGGAACATAGAGACTAGAGAGACAATGAGTAAGATATGCGTTCCATATGAACCATATTTAATGATTTTTTATTCTTCAGGGCACTTGTGGTGAAATGAAATAATTCTACGCAGTATTGTTAATTAGTATGAATTGTTTAATGATGATGAATATATTATACATATTATAGTTATTTCAAGTTTTTGTTAACTTTAACGCAATATAAAAACTTAATTACTGAATATTGCCACATGCAGAAATAATTAATTTAAATTGGCTTTGTTCACAGTTACATACATTGATTAGAATATTATTTCATAGCAGATAATAATTGTTTATCAAGTCCAGTAGGTGGCGTTTTGAATTTAATTTTACGATATAGGTACCTAGGCGAAGATAAATTATTATTACTCTTACCATTTACAACACAGAATTGTGGAGTTGGTCCGTCGCGTGACTATCTCTAGGAGACTGGAGATCAAACTTAAGATTTTAACCTCCAAACACACAAGTACAGACACCACAGAACTGAAAAAGGTTCAATCGCGTTGTATATTATAGATTTAAGTCTGCACTCTACATGGACCACGCTGTACCACTTGCTATATGCTTTTTGCCGGAAATCAAAGTTATGCGAGGCCTTAGCATTAAGAGTAAGTTTTACGTACGTTAAAATTGTATTGGATTTAGACCGTAAATGCCTATGGATCGAGTTTCCTTAACGTAAACACAAAAAAAATAATGTGTAAGTACTACGTATGGTTTAATCTAAAACAATAAAATTTTCAGGCCTCAATATTCCATCTATCTGTAATAAAAAATTATATTATACCTACACATCTGCACCTTGAAATCATATTCATATTTAAAACAGTAAATTAATGAAAGTTAATGTTATAAAAAAATTACACTACTCGTGCAGAAGCTAACATTTGTGCTTATTCCCGCGCATCATTGATGGCGAACTTTTTTGCGCGAGTCATCGGGATTCGCGGCAAAGCGAGCAAGTATAAAGCCGCTGTGTTTGAGACAAAATTATGTTTATTGGTACTTAATATCTGAGTATTCAATACAAATAATCATGATATTTGCATACGTACAAGACTCATTGCTACAATTCATACAGGATACATCATTATGACCTATTTTATCTAAGAAAATAAGTGAACATGGCCCCAGTGTAATAACTACAAAATAAAATAGCAAACTATCATTAAAATATTTAGAACTATGTACCTATGCGAAAAATTAATAAGTAATATCAGATAAGAAGAAAAAATGCACTTGTGTATCGTCTGACGTCTCAAGTCGCGAAACACGAAGTACGAACGGTATTTATGTACCATAATATTATAATGTACCTACCTCATTCTATCTACTGTATATACTTGTACGATGCTATAGAACATAATATATACCTACTTTAACTTTATTGTATAGCGCATACTATTAATCGACCAAGAAAAAATTGTATTATGTAAGCGTTCGTTTGTATTGAAAATGGTAACCTTCTAGAATAGGTCTGGTAATACAAGTTGTCGTGCGAACCCCGACGACGAAATCATTCCATCCAGCCGTCTAAGTCGTGTTCTTGGGGTTTGGGATTGAAATTTTATAAAAATCTATATCGTGTTTGTGCCAACAAGCTTACAGAACAAAGGTATTATCATAGTTCCGTAAAATAATAACCAAAGTGATGTAAATTATCATAGAACCTTTTAAGCATTTATGGCATCGCTTTCTCGGGCGTATCTATTGTCTCGCTCTAATAAGCGGCGCGTCAAGATCGCACAAAACGTCTGTCTCATTCTAACTAGTAATATAACACCGTTGCGCTCGTTCGTGTCACGTAAGAATTTTTTGTATTTTCTCCTGCAAAACTGTGATATTTTGGTGTTTTTTTAGAATTAAAGTGAATTTTGTGTGTCTTTTCACGTATGGAAATGTTTTTACTCGGTTTTCTGCTTTGTATTAAGCTTATAGGTCGTTCTAACTTTCACTCTAGCTGTAGATTGTAGATAGGTACTCTAGATAAATATATAACATAGATGTAGGTATAGAATCTGTAGATATTCAACATCGACACTCAAGGCCGAAATATACACAAATATAATATCAGTCTACTATGTACCTGCTTCTGAAACTAAAATGAAGATTATAATCTAGAGAAAAGTGAGGTTTTATCATAAATTCTGTTTATGTGTAGTCTTAAAACCAGTGTGATCATTGATTTGTGAATTTGTTGTTCGAATCGTTGCGACTCGCGAATCGCTACTGTGGCTTGATATGCGCTTATCATGTCCGCGACGCAATATGCTGTCAATTTTATAATTTTAATACCAGCGAGAGTCAGGTTATATGGATTGGTATAATATGTCTAGATATTGTTTAAAAATAATAAAAAATAAACAAAGTATACATTTTCACGTTCCGTAGTCCTTGAAATAACCTCAAATATTTTTGACTTAATGTGGAATTTTACAGGCTCTTAAATTATTGATGTTTGTTGCTATGTACAATTATTATTAACATAGAAGTTCCATTTAGTAATTATATTGAAAAGGAATAATATAATTAATTCGTATTTTTGATATACAGACAAAGTGAAACGAGACGAGCTACTGCAAAGCTGCTTCAAAGGATCTGCCGAGCCCGCATTATCTGTGATATACAGCTCAGCCTCTCGTCCGTCCTATAAGGTATGTAAATTAAATATTTTATTGTCATTTGTTTCCAAGTGGATTATTGTCTGTATTGTATCTTGTTCTGATGAATTTAAAGATTACATAATACAATTTTAGGGCTCATGTCTAAGAGTATAGAGTTAATCAACACCAGATGATACATGACAAACTTTTTGAAACATGTGACTCTCATAGTTCTATATAATATGCACACATAATAGTGGCATTCCATTACCAAAAACATTCTGTTCTAGGGCTGGGCCACTCGGGGCTAGAGGCATCCACAGCAGCTTCCAGCGGTGATCTCATTCTTGCCCTCTATTATAGAGGCACTAAACACTGCTACCTGCTTAATTGACTGCATCACTACAAACCATTGTTACTTAGTCTTTAATTGAAACAATATGCAATCTGTGAAAATAAGTATAAATTTAGCTGGATATTGTAGAAAATTATTCTATTTATAATAATTGTCTGATGTCTAATGTTTCTGTAATATTATGTGTTCCATATCTATTTAAGGATAATTGTTACTCCAATATTGATACTGTTACCGAACCAATGCAATGTAATTACTCCACCTCAATGGTGGTGATCACAAATAAAATTGGTGCTTTTAAGCGAGTCGAAGAGAAGAATGAAAGTCAGCGAGTTAGTGTAAAAATGGTAGATAATAATATTTATAATGTAGAATTTGTTGATAGGATCCAACAAAACCAAATGATTGGCGGTACGCCTAACTACTGCATTCCTTTAATGATTAACGCCATAACAGTCCAGGGTATCTCATACAGTGACCCGTATTTCAGTAGCTTTAACTTAAACTATAAGATGGCGTTTGGAGCGCCAGAGTATATGAACAAGTCTGATTACGCTTTTAAATCCTCAGTTTGTATTATACGAGATGAACCTTGCACGAATAAGACACAATTACTAAATGTGGAGTCTGCTCATGATAATATGGAACGCAAAGCTCGAATGATAACACATGAAAAGTCTGTATACAATCACCATGACAATAAGATATTGAGCGTCGGTGATTCAATGAGCCAGTCGGCGGTATTGAAGACGTTCAAAAATGGCGATCTGACATTAGATGGTATGTTGGCATTGGTGGAGAATGAACAAAGAATCTTAAATGATATTAAGAAGAGTGAAGAAATAGATACTTGGGGCGTGCCTCGTCGCTTGCGGCTGTGCGGCGGCGGTGAAGGCTCTCTAAATGCTGCCTCAGGCTGGGGAAGCCCACCCACTTCTAATAATGGTATGTATAACACTTCTGGGTTTTAGGGTCGTAAAGTACGTTTTTTGTCAGTAAGTTTGTGAAAATTTGTCAATATAGGGTTATAAAAGACTTGTAGTTTAACATTTATTAATAATGTATCATAGCTTTATTAATATAAGCGTGATAGGAATGAAAAAAAAACAAATACAAATTTTTTTGCAGCTGGTAATTGGGGTGGTAATTCCAGTGGCCAAACCAATAATGGGACAAATAATACTCAACAATGGAACAACAATCAACGACCACAAACTTCACAAGCTGACAGTTAGTTGATTATTTTTATTTCTAAAAATATATATTTAAATTTATTGCTAGGGAAAAGGTTAGGTAAATGTTCTCAAGTCTTCACAACTTACTGATATAGTACTGAAAACAACCATTCATATCTCTAATATTTCCTTTAGCAGATGTAAAATTGTATTTACATCAGTTGTCAGCTAAATATGTCGTCATAGGACTGCATATGAATTTTATTAAAACTAGTGTTTTTCCACAGCTACATTAAAATATTTTTTTAAATTAAAATTTAGAAAAAAGTATACAAATAGGACTTATGCATAAAATCACCTATTGCTACTGACGTATATTGTAATATTGATGTCCTGCTGAAAGTTCCCTTTAAAAAACAATTTTTGATAATTTCAAAGAACGGATCTAACTAGTTATAATATGATCTAATGTAATAAACCCTACTTTGTAACACTGTAATGAAAAAAAATACACAAGTATTTAAGGACACAAATATTTATGAGTTGTTTGCTTGCAGTGAACAGCAATAAGGGGAATGGCAATCAAATACCGCCGACCAGTGCGGCATCACAAAATTGGCAAAGCTCCCCACCAAACATGCCAAATTCCCAATCCAACAATAACAGTGCGCCTTCTAGCAATGGTATTAACTTTAAAAGGATCTATTATTTAATAAATTTTTTTGTACCAGTTATAGTTGTACATATATTAGTGTAATTTAAAAAAGCACAGGCTTTTACAATTTGCTAATCATTGCTAATCACAGCACTAAGTTTCGTAGTATCATTAATCAAGTGACTCAAATGATCACTAATTGGTAGCATTAGAAATTAATGTGTTTGAGTAAAACATATTTATTTTTTATAATTTTTTAGGTACAAACGGAAATGGAAACGGGAGTAATATGGCAAACGCAAATGCCAATGCGAACGGACCAACTTCAAATGGCAACAATGGAAACTCGCCAAATAATACATCCTCCGCGAAAATAGAACAACTTAATTCTATGAGGGAGGCACTATTCAGTCAAGATGGCTGGGGCGGCGTAAGTAGACTCATATTTATTAATAATAATAATAACCTATATTCAGACAAGATACAATTTTACTTAAGCTAGAATATACATATTAAGTACATATTGAAAAAAAAAATAACATATAGTTTAATATTTACATTCCGTTGACAACCTTATCTGTTTGCCTTATGTTGGCAAAGGCCTCCTCCAATTGCCACCATAAATTTCAGACCTGGTCAATTCGTTATATTTATTAGTTATTTTTAAAGACTTCTAATATTGAGATTTATATTTTGGTTTTTTTCATAGCAACATGTGAACCAAGACACAAACTGGGATGTGCCCGGATCTCCCGAACCCGGAGCCAAGGTGGACGCGGCTGGAGGGCCGCCCCCTTGGAAACCAAATATTAATAATGGTGCTTTTCTTGGAACCGATCTCTGGGAGGCCCACTTGAGGAACGGTGGCCAGCCTCCGCCGCAACCCGCGTCCAAGACGCCCTGGGGCCACACCCCTACTACGAACATTGGTGGGACGTGGGGCGAAGACGACGACGCCGCGGATTCTGCTAACGTATGGACCGGGCCGCCGCAGCAGCAGCAATGGGCAGGAGGTCCGCCGGCCCACTCGCAGCAGTGGGCAGTACCAAAGAAAGACGACTGGAACGCTTGGGGTGAACCGCACCGGCCAGCTGACCCCAGACTGGACGCCCATCGCACCCCAGACCCTCGCCAGCAACCCCCAGAACTACGCGGAGGGATATCCGGCCGCCTCAACGGCGATATGTGGAATCAACATCATCAGCACACGGCTGCCGCTCCCAACAAGATGATGCCTAGTGGTGCTGTCAACCAATGGGGTTCCCAGGTAGAATATTAATTCTTGTAATGAGTGTTTGCATTGTTTTTTTACGAATGTTTTATAGTATTATTTACATAAAGCAAGCAAAAAAAATTATTACATTTGGGAGCGTTCAAGTATTACGAACGCTCCCTTAATTACATATGGTAATTCATAATATTGCTCTCTTGAAACATTTGAATTTATATTTTGACTGCCAGTATTCTATTTTTACACAAACCTTGAAGGTTGTCTGTTATAGAACGTCGTATAATATCTTCTTTGACTTGTGTAATATTAATGAAATAGCGGTCTCAGAATTTATTGCCCTTAATAATAGACTGTTATTGTAGGGACCAAAGGACGGTATCAAGGTGAGCGGTTGGGAGGAGCCTTCTCCGCCGGCTGCGCGCCGCGCAGCGGGTGCCTTCGACGACGGTACGTCCCTATGGGCCCAACGCTCGGGCATGGGCGGCGGCATGGCTAGAGGTGCGCCCCAAGGGCCCCCCGCCCCGTCGAGGATCCCACCCACGCCCTCGAAGCCGGAAGGCGTCTGGGCCACGCACTCCCAGCGAAATGGCTCCTGGGAGGAGTCCCACGCGGGCTGGCCCGATCGTGATGTCCCGTCCTGGTCGGACTCTTCCGCTCCCGGTCTATGGCCCGTACCGAAGCCGAAGCCGGCCGGTCCCGCTGGGGCCTGGCCTGATGATATCGCCGAGTGGGGAGGCCCCAAACCCCCTCAGGGAGGTTCCATCGGCAAGCAGCTGACTAAGGAAATGGTCTGGAATAGTAAGCAGTTTAGGTTAGTATCCAACAATTACCTATAACATTTCATTTACAGCTAAGTGCTCAAGTATTACGTCACGCAATTTTTGGAGATTATTGACCCCCCCCATGTAACGCGCCGTAACGTTTTTCTGTACCCAATAGTAAAACGTTTCGTGACCACAAGTACTGGGAGTCGAAAATAATATTAACAATAACGCGTAATTTAATCCCCGCCCCCATCGTAACGTTTTACAAGAGGAAAAAAATTCGTTTCGTAATACTTGAACGCTCCCTAAGTTTGTAATTAAATCGTCACAGGCACATAGTACTGACATATAAATTAATATAAAATTCAATGTCCTAGAATCCTCTTGGAAATGGGATACAAAAAGGAAGAAGCCGAGGCAGCTCTTCGTAGCCGTGATATGAACGTAGAAGAGGCGGCAGAGATGCTGGCAGCCGCTCGCGGAGATAGCTGGCGTCGGGATGACCACTTCCACCATGGACCGTTCCAGCAGCAACCGTCAGTTCCGTCAGTTTCTCCAGCGGTGGTACAGAAGTTGCTGAACCAGCCGCCTCCGCATGCGGTTCAGCATCATCCATCCTTTAATCCTAACAGGTGAGAATTAGCAGGACCTTGTAAAAAAATACCAAAAAATAATTGAAATTGTGTTTAAAAAATACTTTTGGTTAAATAACACATAAATTAGGCAGTTCAATCTAGTTAGTAAATGATGTTTTCGTATGAATATAAACAAATTTAATATAATGTATTCTGCAAAATATTAAATGTTTTAAATTAAAATAGTTATGGATTTTTTTTGAAGCCTCTAAAATAAATATTACAATTTTAGTATTAAAATAACATATTTTGTAAAAATCCAGCGGTTCTGGAAATAGCAGCCAACCCAGCACAGCCCAGCTCCGGATGCTAGTTCAACAGATACAAATGGCTGTGACAGCTGGATACCTCAACCATCAGATATTGAACCAGCCGCTTGCTCCACAAACATTGGTTCTACTTAACCAACTCTTACAACAGGTAAACATTATATTTATTTATTTACCAAAATATATATGGAGCGAGCTTGTTTAGATACAGATTTAGGCCCATATTTGAATCAATTCCCAATCTTACATTCAATATAATGCTCAAAAAGTAAGAAAAAAAAGTTTCTATAGTGTGTGACAGTTCTTGAAAGTAGATTTTGAAAAAGTATTGAAGATATTAAAATTAAAATCTACAATACAGTAACAATATAAATGTCAAATAACACTAAATAATAATGACAGATTGTGTTCCATAATATTCATACTAATTAAAAACTTTAAAATAGTCATAGTATCATCATGTGCACATATAAAGAAACATATTTTATTGCTTAGTAGGGATTGGAACTCACGACCTTAGGATTGAGAGCGTAACGTGAACCACTTATTTCTATGTTTTTACACACACAGAGTTAAATTCTAATTAAGCGCTTCAATAGATAAAACTTGTACTTAACACAGTACACTTTAATTGAACAAGACTAATGAGTATTTCGATTAATAGTCATAGTGTAGCATCGTTACTCTGTAATTACTCGTAATGGAGTTTTAATGTTGAAAGTCGTTTTTTACCAAGTAATTTATAACGTTTAAGATAATTCAGTCAATCTAGAAATGTACATTTTAACAATCATATTCTAACACTTCTCCCTTACATTATATTCACAAATAGCAGATTTGAATAATATTTTTATTGTTTACTATAGAGTATAGAAAGCTACACAAATTGATGTCATTAATTTTGTTAAGTATCTGTAAGGTTTTTGAAATTCGAATCAAACATTCATAAATTCAAGAATCCGCCAAAACGCTTCTGTAGCCAAGATGGCGTCGCAACACGTCTACGACGTACCATGCTTGAAAACGTAAACAAACAAGTGTATACGTGTTAATTATCATAATTAAATTACACATATATTTCGTACTAAACAGTCTGACATAATTAAACTCTAAACTAGTATTAGGATTAGACGTCATCGTCGATTCTCCTACTCCGTGGCCATTTTTTGTCACGTAACTGACAAGAATTGAAATCAATATTTTCAATTATGCATTTTTTTATAAATTATTTTTTTTTATTTACATAATAATCGCTTTTTTAAGTTATGTTTTATATAGATTACTTTCAAAAATAATTTATTGTTCATACTGTCCAATAGCCTATTCTCATAATGGTAGTCTTCATGTATCCTATGTATTTAGAATGTACAGTGCCTCATACTTGTCTTGGCCGGTAAGAGCGTCACTGTCACGGATTTGTCACCTGTATTATTAATACATATAATATATTTTAAGATACCTAGCAATCAGAACCATTAGATACTTAAAACTTGCCATTGTAATTAATAATGCAAGGAATTTAAATAAACACATATTAGTTGGATCTTTATTAGATGTTGGTAGATAGTAAAATTATTTATTGTATGCACCAAAATGGCGACGAACTACTACTCGAATTCTCATACTAATAAATAAATATTTCTCTACTCGACTCAATTGTCGTTAGATTTTGATTATTTGATTCAGGATTATGTATATTATTCTGACTTCAGGAAAATACCCAAGTTTCATAATACTCGATTTCGAGATTTAATGATTATCCCACATATTTCTTAAGGGTACATGTATATTATAGGCACCTAGGTTCTTTTTTTACACTTATTTATTTCAAAGAATAATATCTTTAATCTAAGTCATAGTATTATTACATATGAAAACCACTGTATTAAGGTAACAATAGCAGTCTTGTTAAGAGCGCGACATACGCATATAAAAATAGTCCTTTAACATGTTTTTATGTTGCTTAAGGTTAGGGTATCTAATAACTGACCGGGTGGGTAGTTCATTTAATAATACCTCAATGTTCTGTCTCCATAGACGTTTTTTTTTTTTTTTTTATGGCAATAGTTTATGCCACCATAGACGTTGTTTGCTCTCCAAGTACAGAGCCTACCGGGTCGTACGTCATGCTCATCTCGTTTTTTATGTATCTCGAAAAAAGCGCTCGAGAAGATTTACCTTTTCTGTTATGGCAGTATTTTAGTGTTTAAAAATTTCCCTTTCTTAATTTTTTAAAAATAATAATGAGAATGAATTAGTATCATGTTTTTTTATTAATTGTTTAACAGATAAAGGTGCTTCAACAATTGATGCAACAACACACATTGGCCATTTCAAAGGCCAACTCGTCCCTTGCACTTCAGTACTCCATGCAGGTCTCCAAGACGAAGCAGCAGATTACCGCATTACAGGTTACTATTTGTTTTTTTTAAATAGATTCTATATTTATGGTTTTGTTAAATTTCACTTCAATGACACTATTTGGGTCACATCTTGATTAAAAATGTGAAATCAAATATACATTTAAAGTTTTAAATATTTTTTCAGAACCAAATAGTAAACCAGCAAGCTCTATACATGAAGCAGCAAGCTGGTGGCGCTGATTTGTACAAGCAGAGCCATGATCCATTGACTCAGCTCGGCAACAACTTCAGCGATATGACAATCGGCAAAGATTCACAGGGTGTAAGTTTATTTTAATCCTCAATAAATATAATATTAATATATTTGCACCACAAGTAGCCATAGGATATAAATTGGCTGATAAGAGCGGTTTCTTCCTGACAACCCATAACCGTTAAAAAAAATATTTCCTAAAAAAACGCCCAGGCTCTGGTCTACAGTCTACAGAGGTAGAATCTTAATTCTACTTAAATTATATTTTTTTGAAGTTATACTTCTTTAGGCGCGTTATGAAAAATTTATGAGAGTGAAATTTTACGATGCGCGCGCACCTGTGACACAAAATTAGGAGTGTGATTATAGCGTGCGCGAGCGAGATAGGAATAAGACAATCTACAAGTAAAAAGAAATAGAATATGCGTGAAGTTCGTATGCCAAGAATTTTGAATGACCATAATGACATTTGTCATTTACCTTTTAAACAAATAAAGGAGTTTTAATTATTTTTTCAAAGAAATTTAGCAATGCTTTTTGAATTATATATAATCAGAAGTGATTTAAATTGAATATTTAAACCAATACTAATTAATATTTGTGAAAAAACTGTGCTCATCAACCTTCCTAAGTGCTTCATTACAATTGAGGTTAACTATCAGTTTGTATTATTATTATCGAGTAATGTTTTGATTAAAAAAATTACCACATTGTTTAATCAAAACGTGTAATTTTTCTCTAGCAAATATAAGGACAAGAGACAAAAAACTATTGATGAATCAGTGTAAGTGCACTAAATTGAATACAAAAAAAGAGTTGTCATCTTATCGCTGTGAAACATCAAAAACTGGAGGTGGAACAAAGCCAAACTATTTTTAATAATGCCAAAGAAGTATAACTTCTTACGCGCGTACATAAGTACACGCACCCTTTTTTTTTTTTTTAAATAACGGGGGGCAAACGGGCAGGAGGCTCACCTGATGTTAAGTGATACCGCCGCCCATGGACACTCTCAATCCCAGAGGGCTTGCGAGTGCGTTGCCGGCCTTTTAATATAGGGAGCGTTCAAGTATTACGTGACGTGTTATTGTTAACTTGAAACTAAAGACTTTCCAGTACTTTACACCACATAATGGTAACTTTTAGGTATAAAGAATCACTCGGTGGTCACGAAACGTTTTACTATACTTGGGTACAGAAAAACGTTACGGTCCGTTAACTTGTGTCCAATAATATCCAAAAATTGCGTGACGTAATATGAACGCTCCCTTAAATAAAGGGTGCGGCAGTTATGTGAATTTATGTAATATTATATTAATATATAACAAAATGTGACTCTTGGCATCTTAACATATTAAGTATCAAGTCTTTCAGGCTGTCCAACTATGACGTCTATGTTTTTAATATAAAAAAATAGCACAGCAGCGACATCACCAGCTATTCTTTTTCATATACCACAACCAATAGTGACAATATGTATTTGTTTAGGGCTATGGAGCCACAAACCAACAATCGCGACTGAACCAGTGGAAGCTGCCGTCTCTAGATAAGGAGAGTGAAGGGACGGACTTCAGCCGCGCCCCTGGCACTGCGAAGAGTGCCACCAGCCCCCAGCTTAACCAGATGGGCTTGCAGCCCGACTCGTAAGTTATATTATATATCTAGTTACGATACATGAGACACTATCGTAATAAGTTCACACAATTCTTAAAAGGCCGGCAACGCACTCTCGAGCCCTCTGCCATTGAGTGTGCATGGTGGCGCATGTTATCACTTAACATCAGGTGAGCTACCGGCCCCTTTTGCCCTGTTCTATAAAAAAAAAGTGCGTGCGTACAAAGTACACATGTCAGAAGTGAAACTTCTTTGGAAACTAATTTTTTAAGTCTTGTTCATATTTATACAAATCTAAAAATTTCCGAGAAAAAGGAAAGGAAAAAGGAAGATATGTTAGGAATTTAATTGTCATTAAAATATTAAAAGTGTTGAAAATAATAATAATAATAAATTTAATTTTTTAAATTTATTTCTTCGATAATAAAAACACGTGGCATTTTAATTTACAATTCGTTATTTGAGATTTCAATAAATTATTTTGCATAAAATACTGATATTTCATAAATTCTCTTTACGAAATGTCAATTTTAAAAATAGAATTTCTATACGCTAATTCGCCCTTCTCACTCTCTCAATAGCTCTCTCCCTTTTCTTCGACAAAAACGCTGCACATCTTCGTGACGTATCCGTTAAAATTTTACCATCATGCGATGCCTAAAGAAGTTTCACTTCAAAAAGCATGTTGTCCAGAATTAATTTTTTGCCTAACTAGTTTTAACCAGAGGTGTTTTAGAAAAGGAAATGGTTGATGTTTTTTAGAAACTGTGAGATATAGCAATAAATGTGTTTGCAGCACTTGGGGTGTAGCGCGTGGGGCCGAATGGGGCGAAGGCGCCGACGTGGCCGACGGCAAGGACTGGCCTGCGCACACGCATCCACCCGTCTATGATCTCGTGCCGGAGTTTGAGCCTGGCAAACCTTGGAAGGTGAGATGTCTCTTTGTTTATATAGGTTATGGGGCTTATTCTTTGGTTTGGAAGGCATGAAGATGTTATATGTATATTTATTACAAACAAAAACACACACACATAAACACACAAAATAACAATAATCAAAGAAAAAATAAAATGAGAGATATCAAAAACAATAAAAAAAATCCCTGTTCCCATTCAGTTCGTTTCAAGTATGTAATGCGTGTGATGTGGCTGTAATTGGCCCTGGCTCAGCATTATGCTGAGAAGCAGAATGTTACACAGCGCTGGTCATTCTGCCAGAGACCACAGCAGCTAGGTTGCGCCTCAGTCGCAAAAAAAGAAAGAAAAGGAATGTAATAAATACTTCGAAAAAATAATAATAAAAGTTACCAGTGTAATGAAGTCTTGTGTAAAGGTGTATAGTAAAATTAATAAAAATGTAAATTAAATTAAGAAGTAGATAAATATTATATTCTTTTTCTCTTTGTTTAGTTAATGTATTTTTTTTGTATCGATTGTATTCATTATTACGAGCCTTTCAGGCTTAAGGGCACATAATAAACCCGTTAGTGGCTTTTTTGTATTTTTGTTCCAAAATAATGCAAAATTCCGTTCTCTCTATCGCGACGCCTGGCGTTCCACAACACAGAGCTTTTTAGGACACTTTCTGCCGTGCACCACTTCTTTGTGGAACTAGTTGCCGAGTAGTAGTAGATGTATATACAAACCCATACGACTTACGCCTTCAAGAAAAGAGCGTACCTTGAAAGGTCGGCAACACCGCTTGCTTGTTCGCATCCTGTCCCTTAAAAAAACGTCAAATTCAAAATCCAATACATTTTTGATCTACCGGAGTCAAAGTTAGTGCTAAGTCTCGTTGCTGAAACTAATTATATTTAAAAAAAATGTGTATTATGAAATATAAGATACAGGTATCACTTATTCCACGTAATTAAATCGAAACGGTAGATATCCCTACTCATCGGCAAAGAAGACAGAGGATGTAGGCCGAGAGAAAAAGCCGGCGTAAAAAACTCGTACTGTTTTAAAATAGCAAATCATCAAACGACACTTATTTTAAAACAAATATCGCAAATTAATTAGAAGTAGCCTGTCTAGCACTAGTCCCAGGCTCTTTTATCAACTTTATATAAAGCCTTTTTACACAGCTTTTCCTTTCCCTTACAGTCAAGAAATAGCTGTTCACACAAAAATAAAGTTTAGTTGCTGCACTTATGATATTCTAGAATTAATAGGAATGCCTGTTTAATGTAAACAAATATCTATTAACCAGGGTAATCAACTAAAGACTGTAGAAGACGATCCAGCTATGACTCCTGGGTCGGTGCGATCTCCACTTTCACTCACCGCTATCAAAGATTCGGACATGCTCGGTGGGAAGACCTCCCCACCTGGAGGGGAACGAAGCCTCTCCTCCTCCACCTGGAGCTACCCCCCCGTTACCAGCGCTGGGGGGCTGAAGACTGACGCATGGGGGGCAAAGGGTAGAGTTGCCCCACCCGGACTTAACAAGTGGCCCCAGCACCACGCGAATAACTCTCGCAGCGTCCCATCTTGGCAGGCCTCCACTTGGCTGCTGCTGAAGAATCTTACTGCTCAGGTATTTTAAAATTAACAATTTAATATATTTTAACATACAACTCTTACAGTTTTATTTTTTATTAACAAACACTAGACAAAAAAATTATGACGTCATTAAATTAATATCAAGACAAACTGCCTGAAAAAAATCAGGGTAAGCACTTGTTTATAACAGAAATAAAAAAGAGTTTCCATCTTTGTAATGTATGCCTACTCAAACAAGTCCAACAACCTCGCATTTTAGTTTGTATAGAAATGTTTTAAGATACTAGCTGTACCCCGCCACGCTACGCACATTGTGATTTAATGGTTGAGAAATGAGAAACGAAACAAAGAATACATTTCACATAAGTTTAATTTTGCAATACTTGTGGGAAAAAAAAACAATTCTTGATACTGATTATATATCATGGTGAAATTTCAGCTCGATCGGTGCAGAACTGTTTGAGTTTTTGAAGCGTACACAAACCAACGTAACATTTTATATTACATACTATCGGTTTCCCGTTACTCAAAATTGTAATATATATACATAATTAGTTTGAAAAAATTCGTTTGCCATCAATATGTCAAAATTTTGGCAGAGCTACAGAACAGAAATTTAGACTAATCTCTTACTAACATAAGTGACGGGTATTTCAATAAGATGCCTAGAAATATTTAAAAATGATTTCATCCAAACTCAAGCAGTAAACAAAATATTTCATTCTAAGTGCTACACATTATGTTTCGTAATACTCGATCGTCTTATGTCGTAATCCGATACAATAACTTGTTTTAATTGTCTAATGTATGCAAATATAACAAAAGAATATCAAGATTGCCTTGGCCTAAACTGGTTTTTAGTTCTCGGCATCTTACAAAAGTATAAACTATTATTACTTAAGACATTTCGTGAACATCTTTTCTATGTATGTCGTTTATTACGAGAGGAAAAGTCATCAAAGGGAGCGTTCATGTATTACGTAACGAATTTTGGGGGGGAGGGGGTCCTTTTGTAAAACGTTACGATGCGGGGTGGGGATTGAATTACGCGTTATTTTTAATATTATTTTCGACTTTCCAGTACTTTACACCACATAATGGTAACTTTTAGGTATAGAGACCAGGTGGTCACGAAACGTTTTAGTATACTTGAGTACAGTACTGTACTTGGGTACAGAAAAACGTTACGGCGCGTTAAAAGGGGTGGGGGGGGTCAAAAATCTCCAAAAATTACGTGACGTAATACTTGAACGCTCCCAAATACATATGTAATTAATTAATTCATATACACATGTACACTTGAACGACAATGTCAAAAAAAAACAAGCTTCTAAATTTAAATATAAATTCCAAATTGAGAGAACATTATAGTAGCTCGTAAATGAATGAGTAATCAATAATATTTTTTAAATTTATAAGCGTTTTGTGCTTCTTGAGTACACAACACGCCTAGTGGCTTTAGCGTGCGACTCTCATCCCTGAGGTCGTAGGTTCGAACCCCGGCTGTGCACGATTGGACTTTCTTTCTATGTGCGCATTTAACATTCGCACGGTGAAGGAAAACATCGTGAGGAAACCGACATGTCTTAGACCCAAAAAGTCGACGGCGTGTGTCAGGCACTGGAGGCTGATCTCCTACTTGCCTATTAGATTGAAAAAAATGATCATGAAACAGATTCAGAAATCTGAGGCCCAGACCTAAAAGAGGTTATAGCGTCACAAATTTTTTTTCGTCTATGAAATGTGCAACACTTGCAATTTTAATTATATCCAGAAATAAGTTTAATAGACTTGTGCTAATAATACAAATTTGTTATCAGATCGACGGATCTACTTTGAAGACACTGTGCGTACAGCATGGTCCATTGCAGAACTTCCATCTTTACCTTAACCAAGGGGTGGCTCTCGCTCGCTACTCCACACGCGAAGAGGCCGCTAAGGTAATGTTTATCTACCAAGGGAAACATATTCCTTTAGTTTAATTAAATTGAATATCTATATACATATTTACTAGCTGACCCGGAATTTTGCCACATATCTTATTTCTAGGAAACATTTTTAGTTCAATAAAAATAACTACTAAATATCTACTATAATAACAAAATAGGGGTTCATCGTCTAAAAATTAAAAATAAAAATTTAGGGGTGTGACCACCCTTAACATTTAGGGGGACGAAAAATAGATGTTGTCCGTTTCTCAGACTTACTGAATGTGCATAAAAAATTCATAAGAATCGGTCGAGCCGTTTCGGAGGAGTATGGGAACGAACATTGTGTCACGAGAAATTTAATCATTTAATTAATTAATAAAAAGTTGTTCCCTTTATTATTTACATTACTATACTATTTCTAGTTAATTAAGTTTTTTATACATAATTATTTATATTACCCAAAGGAAACTTTGTTATTTTTTAAAAATTCATGGGAATAATAAACTTTATTTTATTATGGTAACAGGCTCAAATGGCCCTCAACAACTGTGTGCTAAGCAACACTACTATATTTGCGGAGTCTCCAGTCGAATCAGACGTGCAGCTCCTTCTGCAGCATCTCGGCTCCAGCGGCGGACCCGCTTGGAGGGCCGGTGGAGGCTCTAAGGTAAATTATAATTTTTAAGTTTTATTAATTTTAGTTTTTGTTGCTCTAGTAAGACGTTTTACAGAAATAAATGAGCCAAAAATATTAACTAATTGATTTAGCAGCAAGAAAACTGGGGCGGATTCCCCGGGCTCTGGCCCGACCAGCACGAGGCTCGCGCTACGCCCTCCGGTCTCAACTCGTTCCTGCCTCCGGATCTACTCGGCGGAGAGTCCATTTAAGCACCCTTAGATAAGTCTTAACATCTATAAGGTCTCAACGTGTCTCACGATCCACTTAAAACGCGTGTCATCAAATTTGTGCAACTTTCCAAAGCACAAATCGGGCACCAATACAAATTAGTGTTCCGAAGTTGCACAATTTTGTCCGCGCCGTTATGTACAAATGTAAAGGTTCGGACCGAAATAGGTGTCTAGTTGTAATTACGCTTTCCCCCGAGTGGGATTTTCGCCTAGTCACGTGGTGCGGGCGGGCCGACGGCCGTCTCGTCTAGCAGATTCTGGGACGCCTAGACCCGCCCGCGGTAGCCAACTGTCCACATACTATCGTCTGTTTCGTAAGTGTTCATTGTAGTATTTAGCCGTTAGCGTTAGATAGTCGCGAGTGGTGCGCGCGGGCGCGTGTAAGACGCGCGTGCGCACGCGTCGTCGCGAGCACCAAATATGGTAGTGTCGGCGGTAGGGTTAGAGTCGCGGGCTACCTCACTCACTCGTCCCGTGCCGTGTCGCTTGTACCGAAACTAACATTTGTAGGCCGAACGTGAAATTCAAAAATGGAACTCGAGTGATTTTAAAAATCGAACGGCCGCGATTCCTACGGACTACAAGCGTCAGTTTTCCTTACGTACGAGTGACATATATTAGCGTGTATTTATTTTGTTGCGTCCGCGGGCTGTTGCTGTTTCGCCGCGCGGATGATTGCGTTCCAAGTTTTTCTTTCGCGTTTTTTTTTGTCGTTTTTATTCGCTTACCGTGTCGTATTTATATTATTTATTTCGAATTCGCTCTTCGAGCTCTCGTTTTCCAGTAGTGATATTTTATTCAGCAATAACTTTTAAGTGCATTTTACCCGGATTGAATATGTTTTATTAGTCTATAAATTTTATAAATAATACGTAAAATAAAAAAAACAAAAAAAGATTGAGATTGGAAGTGCATTCTAGTAGCGATAAATTCCTTTAAGCCGTATAGTCTGAAGGGAAGGCGGCCGGCTCGCCCCGTGATGTGATCTTGCCTAAGGAGTTAGCGAGTTAGAGAAGTGGAGGAGCCGAGCCGTCGAGGCACCGCCGATGCCGATTCCCCAAATTTTTTCCAGTATTTGTGATTCAAGTGCCACTTTATGTTTAAATAAATATATAAAACGATTATCTAGATTATACGATTAATGTAAGGGTAACCTAATATATTAAATTAAAAATTGTTTTATCATTTTATATTACATACATTTGTGAGACATGTTATAAAGTACTATAATTGACGGTAATTTAAATATTACACTTTTGTGTATAGATAAGTATAAAGTTCTAACTTAAATTTAGCCATATCAATATCTATTTAATGAAAGATTTGTGGTATTTTCTATAGGCTCAATTTGAACGTTATTCAAAGTGACATATGCTTTAGATATTCTGTTAATAATTTACCTGTAGATGTAGTCGTCTCGGTATTACGATCATCGTAGGGTAAGCTAACTTAAGTCCTATACGCGTACGATATTTTACGGCAACGATCGCACTTGTAAATGTTCGTTATATAAAAGATTATTTACATTTTTATTTACTTTAATTTATTGATGGTGTGCCACAGAGATACTCTGCCAAAATATTATATCATTACCAGTATGTTATGGGGTTAGGGCGACTGGGCCCAGGCGTAGTCGAAGCGAGACTTGGCCCGCGAGCCGCTAGGCCGCCATGAATATTTCTGCAGCGATCACGAACGCGTACCGTCGACGTGTCGTACTTTGAGCATCTTCCAGTGATCTTATTAACGATTAGTGCTAAGTTAGCTGTAAGTATTCGCTGTACCTTAGCGAGCCACGCGCTCGTGTACTCTTCACAAAGTAATATAAAGTGTGTTCGTGAGTTTAGTAACGATCGCTTCGGATACGTAGCTCTAGTTCTCAATGTGTTCACGTAACAACTTCCTAAGTACTGGACGGTTGCGTATTCTTTGCCGCCTTTGTAGTCCCGCTTCTGGATCATCGAAGGCACGTTTGCACTGAGTATTTATAGGGGCCATAATGACCGTGTCATCGCGACTAATGTTAGGTGCCAAAGAATCAGTATCAAAGAATTGAGACGGTGGCTGGAACAAAATTCATAGCATTTGCTTAGACATATCTTCCAAATTGTTTTGAAATTATTTGCGGTACGGGTTATTGATCTGATGTTCCTATACCATTCGTGTTACGTCTGCGCAACAATAGTGCAATAGCAGGCCAACGTCAATTCTATTGTTGTCGAGCTCAATTTTAAGCGAGGGTGTTTCTTTTATCGATTTGATAAGGTTAAATAAAAGTATATTATTTTTAATCGTCTGGTGTATTTCTGTCCACGTATACACCGAAACTCGATGCCTCAAGCGCAGTTGCCTACTGGTTTTTAATATGAATTTAATACAGCAATAAAATTGATTAAAAAGAAAGAAAAAAATTAATTTTTATAAGTATTTTTCAATTTTTAAATTTAGTCAAGCCAAGTAACGAAAGTATAATGATCCAGTGCCCTGTAGTGTATGTGTCCATAGATTAAAGACGATAGAAGTCATGCCTTTTTAGTCAGTTAACGTGTAATCAGTACTTAATAATTGAGTAAAGTTAATTAATGCGTGTGGTGTAGCGGTGTTAGTTGTCGGTTCTCTGGTCAGCGGGGGCGCTTGTGTCGCGACAGCCGCACTCCTCTCGAGGGGTCGCAGGCGAGCTTGCGACGGACGTCCGAGTGTCCGCCTAGAGCGTGTCCGCGAGCCTTAATATCCCGGCTAGGTTGTGAAGAGTGGCGTCTGCGCCGCGCTAACTGAATCTCCACTCGATTCATGGACTGCGTCATTTTCCTGCACACAATTGCGCCACGTGCAATTTAGTCTGTGTTATTATTATGTTGTTGTATATTTATAACTTACACATATACTATAATATGTATATATTGTGAAATTATATTAAAGATTTTAATACGCTTCACGCTTTCACTTCTAACATTTACGTGACTTGTTTCTGTTAACTAGAATAAATTTACGTACCTAAAAGTAATTATAATAATAACTATCATAGATACTTATAATTGTAAGAAAAAAATAAAAAAATAAAAAAAAATAAAAATAATAAAAAAAAAGATAAAAAACCAATGATTGTGCCTCAATGAACTGTGGTACGTTACCGTAAAAGATGGCAGGTTGAATCGTTTCCTTCAAAGTTATTCGTGCTATAGGCACCGCTCGGACTAGGTGTAGACAATATAAGGCTGCGAGCACCGGGGCCCGCGCCAACGCCTTGTGTAATCATTAATGAGCTTAGCTACGTTTTACTTTTATTGTAAGTGTTATGTCATCAATCAACATTTTATATATATTCCTATGTGTAAATAATATCTATTTATTTTTTATTGCCATGAATTCCTATTCGTGACCGATTCCATAATACTTAAATGCCAAAGTCGATGTCTAATGCCATTAGATAATATCCGTGGATCTCCGACATCACAAACGTTGACCGTACAAATGGGAGCCATCTCTACCACCTGCCGCGTATCACGGCCTCTTATCCAAGCTGCTCCGGTTATTAATTTAGCTCAAGTATTCTAATGGTAGTTGCTCATAATATTGTTGTTTTATTTTTATTATTTATATATTTAACATTTCCTTAGCGGAGTAAAAATTTAATTAGTATTGTCAGCTCCAATGATTAGTTTTAATGATTTTTTTTTAAATTAAACGGACCATCTTAGACGGCATCGTGTTTAGGTCTGTCTCGATTAAATGCTGTCGCTAAAAATGGCCAATACGATATAGGTACAATAGATTTTCTACTTATTTTCTTATACGAATATTTTTATATCTTGTATATCAGCGACCGAGTCTCATGGTGTTAAGCGCAGCATTTCACAAAGAACCGATCTCAGCTCGCTTTCGCGTTTCACCGTCACAGTTGTGTAGGGACCAAATTGTCTACGAAATCTCATGTGCGCTCACCGCCGATGCATGCTAAAAGACATAATATGTGACGTGTTAGTTTAAGCGTCATAATCGTAGGTATAGTGCACAATATTCAGGGCCTTTTTAAGTTGATAAGGTGTTTGCTTGTTGTCCTAATTTATATATATTTTTGTACGTTGATACAATAGAAGCACGTTAGGTGATATCTTACAATGAAACTAGTCTTCCTTATAATTGAGGTAGGTGGCGGAGTGGCGACGATGCGGCGCCGACGTCGACACAAGAGGCAATCATTCCTCTAGTCTTGTTTTGTGGTGCGATTAAGTGAATACCAAATATATACTTACGAACACTTCGTAGTGTATCGTAGACGATAGGCCGGCCCGAGCAGCTTGGACCCTGTGACTCGTTACAAGGGAATCGTTGGGTAGTATTATTGTATTGCATTTCTCTTTTGTCATAGTCACTCAAGAATATATTTAATTAATTGAGCTAATGCCTATAATTGGAATATCAGAGTTTATTTAGGATGTTTCATATTTTACATTTTAGTGTTTAAATATCTAAAATTTACCTTAATTATAGTAAATGGATTTTTGTATTATTGGTATATAGATGTAAGTGAAAGGGTGTTGATAAACACAAATAATTGATTAATACAAAATATTTAAAAAATTGTACTGAGTGACTTTACGTGTAAACAGCGGGCCATGATAAAATGTTGAACTAAGCTAAATTTCTCTATGTGGTGATTTAATATTAATGTGATCGCCGAAAATATTTTTAACTGCTATATTTATAGTTATCATAGACCAGTAAGTAAATATTCAGTCCGTTCGTTCGTTCATTGAGCAGTACTCGTCAAATGTACAACCGCGACCGTACTATGGGCGCCAGTGCGCGTCACTGCGCGTTTCACGTAAATAAATACCTTTCATGATGCATTTTAATTTTCTAACAAGAGTATATCGCGTGTAATGTATATAAATATTATATGTATGTGTATCGAAGCCAACCCCTCCACGAAGTTAATTGATGCAGTAGACTCCGGTACTGCTCGCTAGCACAACACGTTGCTTCTCTAGTCTCTCGCATTCGAACATCGCTTAAGAGCTTATGTTATCGAGCATAATTATATCATATCCTTATAACTAGTTGTATTCGTATTATTCTTTCATTAGATCTCTGTTGTACCTGTGTGAAGTTTATATTCATTGTTCAATTACTATAAGAGAATTGATACGGTCCCGACGCGCCGCGTCCCACCAAAACTTAACGTAGTTTCAACGACCAAATTTCCCAATGTTCCAATTTATCGTACAACTCGTATTGGCGACTTGTAACAATACTCTGCACTCTAAACTTAGTCACTTTTGTACCTTGATTGTACTTGAATACCTATAAGTGAGGAACGACTAATCCAATTCTGAAATATACTTAATTTAAATTTTAACAGACTGATAGCTGTGATTAAGAAAATATTTTTAATATTATCCAGTGAGTCGGATGAGAATATTTATTTTGTTAGAGGTTTCCTACTGCCAGCGACACGCGTGTATGCGACGTACTGCGCGTAGTTTACGTTAACTCACCTTAGTAGGAGTGCGTCACCGAGCCCACCTTGTCAGTGCAGGACCATCCCAATGAGTCCTAGTCAAACCAAACCGCATGACATCTGTACGAAGAGAGACTGATAACAATGTTAGGTATCCATTATTACCACCGATGTCGCCTGAACATTTCTTTTCCTTAACGTTGCATATCGTCTGACATGTCTTAATCGAATGAGTTCTCTGTATTCGTGATAACATTCGGAAGTTTTCTATTAAACAGTTTCAAGCTATTTGCACTAGATGCATTTATTGGTAGTGTGTGGCATCTCTCTAAAAGTAATAAAAGTATTGGCGTTGTTTTTTATAATAAAGTATATTTTTCGGTACCACCTTTGTTTTTGAAAGTACAATGTAGTTTTATATAAAGCGTGTTGCAGTGACGTAAAAATAACAATATCAAAATAATAGTAATGAATAAGTTTAGTGTTAGTTTTAAGCTGTCTCATCTCGTAACAACCATGTAATAATCCTCCTTAATATTCGTACTCTTATCGGACATAATTGTAATAAGGCATTTTTCATAATTGAATATCAATAGGCTTAATATTAGAGGATTTTTTGTGCAAATCTCTGTGATGAGAAATTTATTCTAAAGATCTAGTATTAAACGATAATGAAACAGGTATTATGCAATATCTCGCGCGTTAGATAGATGTGTCGATTACAAAGTTTCAATATTTAGATATAAAGGGAATCTGTCGAAGGCGCGAGAAGTCCCCACTTACGCTTGAATATTTTATTGTTACCTGTTTCATTGTGACAAAAAGTTGAACTTTTTCAGTCTTTTTTCGCGCAAATGGTTGTGTATTAAGTTTTTATGTAGTACAAATGTATTCGCAATTTGATTGCTGCTGTAGTGTTCCTTAAGTTCTTTTGTAACTATTCGGCATTTATTTGAAACTCGTTTAATATTCTCTATATCTCAAATTGTATGTTTGTGAGTTGTCGTAAGGTTACGCCTAAGGGAGTAGGGTGAAATGAAGCACATCGTTTGTGAACGTGTCAGTTGTTCGCACGGAGGCCGACGCGGTCGCTTCGATTGCATAGTACGCTTTAAGAGAGCTGAGCGCAGTAATTGCGCAGGTTCGTGAATGTGCCTTGATGTAGAGGCTTGATGATACAGCGATACTATGGGTCGGTCGTGTTCAGTCGATAAACCTCGCGTACCAAATAAGAGAGGCAGTCTCGGTTGCAGCCCCCGCGCGATTTGCGTCGGGACACTCGGCAGTATCTCCTTGTATCTATTACCTCATTCGATAACCTCACCTATGTATTAATATTAACTATTTATCGCCTCCCCGTACTTATCAAACGCACTGCACTGTTATTTGGTACACCCACCTGTTTAACTTTTCTTTGGGTTATTTTTAATTAAGGTATATATCATGGACTATATCAGCATATAGCATAGTTGATATATTTTGATTGTTATTTTTCTGAAACTCTACCTAAAAGCAATGTATTTTACAAACAATGCAGGAGAACAATAATTATTATGTAAGTGTAACAGTTAGTGAATTTAAATGTGCTATTTTCCATTCCAGAACTCAACGATATCAATGTTCTTGTAATACTTATGTTCGGGTTTTAAAAAGATGTTATTATTGTATAATTATAACTAAACCTAATGTGATTGAAATGCAATGTTTAGAAGTATTTTATTCTTTATTTTTTACCATTAATAATAGTTAGTAGAGATCTATTTGAGAGTCTAATGTATCAATTATTTGTAAAGTTGGCTGTAACTAAGTAAAGGTTACGATAAGTAGAAATATTTTAATATAAACATTTGGAAAAAATTTATGTAGATGACAAATAGTTGTTTTGATCATTATGTGAAGTGTTGTATGGTATTGTATTGGTATATGTTATATTAAGTGTAGGAAGGATAGGATAGACGTAGAGGAAAGGGAGTTGTAAGGTACGTTAGCGCAACGTGTACGCACAACGGCTGGGACGTGCACGCTCGCACGTTAGTACGCTCGTACGCTCGCCGCGGCGTCCCGTCCGTACACCCTCGACTCACTGCACAGCACTGCTAGGCTAATTCAGTTAACGAGTAATGATATTTTTCTTACATTTCATAAGAGTAACGTTTATAGTATATAGGCAATAATGTTTAACAAAAGTCCCTATGTAATCGAACTGACGACAGAAACGTATGTTATATTTGTGGCCTCTTTATAAATAAGATCTAAGTTACATTTAAAGAAAATTAATTTTGCTATGCACAGAAATGATACTCAATTAATTGCCAAAAAGTTATATGTATATTCATAGTTCAACAATATTTCTTTTGGGCATATTTACTTTGAATTTATGCAAAACTTAGATTATGAATAAGTAGGTTGTAGATTTTATGTAGAGTGGATGCATATATAATATATCTATATTTAATGTAAGTGAATTTGAGATGTATCAATTTCTTGTATTGTTCATAAGTTTAGATAATAAATGGGTTTAGCCATACTTCGGCTGGTTTGATATGTATGTTATCTGATTAATTGTAAAAAAAATAAAAAAATATTAAAAAATTTGGAGTTTTATTTTGCCCCTTTCCCTATCCTTATAAAACCAAACTTTATTTTACGGAATTCGAAGTCGAGACGCTTAAACGCATAATTAAACTAAGGCGGAGGTAAACTGATCAAGATAAGAAAACTATAAATTACTATATTTTAATAATACCTTATAAATGTAGATTAATACATTGTAGAAATGTAACCATTTAAAATCTTATTCTAAACATAACAGCCACGTTATCTTGTTTCTATTTTCCCAAGAGTCTCGAAAATATGCTTGTACCAGAAGTCCACCGTCTTCCCCCATGCTCCCAGGGTTGAAGCATCTAAATTCAGCACTTCTATAAACATTTTCACTATAACGTTCTTTAAGTCCTGAAAAAGAAGATAATATTATTATAAGGTTAAAGATTCTATTTGAAAATCGAAATGTAGGCAATTTTCTGGAAAATATTCGATTCAAAACAGTTTATTCTTGATTTTAAAAATTAACCGCCGAAGAGTAAAATACATTCACAAACTACCGTAACCTATGGGTACATCTGGTGTGGAATAAACCCATTAAAAACGTGTTTTCTTACGTTAAAATGTTCCTGCTGTATTTTCCGTCTTCCATGCGAGTCGCCTAATTTATTCATCATGGCGGCCACCACTTCCGGTTGGTTGAGATTTGTGACCGCCATATTAAGTGACGACATGAGGTTGATCACATGAGCCTTGAACTGAGGGTTTTGAGGGTAATCTTCTTCAGAGGAGTTTTTAACCATTTTAAAGAAGTCTTTTGTGTCGGGATATGCTTGAAATAATCTGTGAATATAAAAGGAATTCTGAACTAGGGAAAAGTATTCATGTTTTGTTAGTTTTTATTAACAAAAATAATTATCCAGTGGCGCTACGACCCTAAATAGGTTCTCAGCCTCAGATTGCGTCCGTTTTTTTGATAATTTTTAATTCATAGGTAAGTAGGTAATCAGCCTTCTGTCTAACACATGTCGCGGATTTTTAAGATTTGAGACATGCCGGTTATTTCGCTATCTTTTCCTGTAGGCTATGTTCAGATGGCAAAAATTTGACGCGCGTTTTCAAATCGCGCGACTAGACATTGTGGTATTTTCATACAACTGTTCACATGAGCGCGCGTTAACGCGACGCTCAGAGAAAAAGTCTATACGCAGGTGATCGCGCGTTGATATTAATGTAATGTCCGCTTGCTGTTCAGTTGAGCGCGCGTTTTCATCGCGATCGCATGTAATCTTGTTAATTTTCGTAATTATATTTATAACAAACTGGGTCTATTTTTCAAAATTGGATGAACCCAACGTGTACGTTTTCTTTTTCTATATTTTTCTTTATTATATAACCACAAAATAATAGCCTCTTCCACGTCCATTTTCTACGTTCTACCGAACTAGACTGACGAGTACTCTCGCAACGCGCATTAGCGCTCATCATCTGGACTCTCTTCAAATTTGATCGCGCGTTGACGCGCTTTAACGCGAGTTACATGTGAACATAGCCTTACTGTACGAGCCACTGTTAGATTTACACGTAGACAGGAATTACATTGGTGCATGGCAGGGATTCGAACGTACGACCTCAGGGATGTGAGTCGCACGCTGATGCCAAAACGACTGTGTTCTCAAAAGTTTTGATTAACATGAATAGAGTTTTTTTTTTGTTTACTTTCGTAACTCGACAAAAAATCTATTGGGGTGCCCAATTAGGACTTAAACATGTACCTAACAATAAATTAATGAAATAAACTATTTTCAGAAATAAAGAATACAAATTAATAATTTAAATTTTTCTTGAATCCATGAAAACGATTTTAGTGTTATAGTAAAAAAATGTTTCCCTGACCTCCTCAACAATTCTGTTCCATTGGTGATAGAGTCTGCATAAACAGGTGCCCAGGATTGTTGGACAGCATATATTTCTCTTTTCGTTAGCCCTGATTTCGGGTTGACAACGTCTGGGTCGCCGCCCCACCATAGGTAGCTTAACCAGCCACCCATTTTAAACTGGAACAATGGTAAGTAAAATAAAATTCTACGGTATATTTTATTATATATTTTATATTATTTTAGAGTGTATTTTAATAAGCAGCAAAATTCTTATGAAACAGCTTTCAAATAACAAGCCTCTATATACTTTTATATTTTGTAACAAAGAAATTTTGTTGCCTAAATTTATTTTGGTCAATTCGTGGTTTATGTAAGGTTCAAAGGCAATGTTATTCACATTCGACAAATGCTAGTGGCTAAGCCGTACAATAATTGTCATAAGGGACCATCTACCTGAGTTGCCGATATTTATAAAAAACCATACAGTTTTTATTACAGTCAAAATTAATCTTGACTAGAATGTTATCAGACAGTTGGCTGTTACAATACTATTACATACTTAGCAATACTTTCTAGCTATTTACAGACAAACAACCGTACTCTAAGTCAAATGATTTAAATTAACTTTTAAGATATATAAACGATTACTTAAAACCAATGAAACTGAGCTGTTTAGCTCTAAATTGGATCTATGGTGAACTTATTTAAATTCTACTAATTTACTTTTATAGTAAGATTCAGTCAAGTCTCGCCTTTGAAGGCTTTAACGAAGTATACGTTATATTTAAAATTAATTCGAGCTGCCTTTACAATACTATATTTGAAATAAAGCGCTATTTTTAGGTTCCCAAATGTTTTAAGAAGCTATTGTCTCTTACCCGTTGTCGAATTTTAATTTTCTTCAAAATAACGAAAGCGGAGAGCAATATGAATGTTGAACAAAGATAGAAAAATAACATTGTTCAACAACTGCACGTTGCCGCAAAATAAGTTAGACTGGACTCTATGGAAACTCTTACAATGGTTTTCTTATCGTATTTGCTGTCTCCCAAGACATAAATAAATACGTTGTCTAAATAATTACTCGATATTACTCATTCGCCATTTTTGTTGATGTAATTTGATAAGATTGCGGTGTACCGCTGTTATTGAACTAAATTAATATTCTACAGCTTATTCTTTCAAATTATATATTTGATACAAATTGACAACTCTGTCTCTAAAGGCGACTGTAATAACTTTAATAATAATAAAAACGTGTGTGTACGTATGTATATGTACACGCGTTAGAGGTTATATTTTTTTGGCGTAACAAGATAAACTCTTTTCAAAAAATTTATTCTACGTTTATAGAAAAAACTACACTAACAATAGAAAAAGAGGTATTTAATACATTGAAAGTTTTATTATAACGAATTATCTAGTTAAAAAAAGTTTATTTAAATATCACAAAAAAGTTGTTTCTACATAATTAAGGAAATGGATATTTTTTATTTCAGCATGAAACTTATACATATTGATATTTACTATTTAATTCACGTCCATTGGTTATAAAATAAAATGTCGACTATAGCTATCTTCAGGGTGTTGGTTTTTTGCGACGGTGTGCGCGATCATCGTAAAAATTTACTCTCATAATTTTTCCCTAACGCGCCAAAAGAAGTATAACTTCAGTAAATGCGCTACTTATGATTAATATTTTTAAGCCATAAATCTAAATTTCCTAATAACATTCAGCTGTGTCAATACAACGCACAAAAACTCTTTTTGATTCCTTATTTTAGTACAGACGGATTCGTTTTAGTTAGGGTCAGTTATTGAGATTTAAAAACGAACGTTTTATAAAATTCCTACGTCGATTCAATTCTGTCTTATGTTACTTCAGAAAACTCCAAGTGTTCAAAACACCGAACGAGTTATTAGTATACATAGTGGGCAGTATTTGGACCTTGTTCTGGAGCCATTGAAGAATCTCATTGCATTTATACGTACCTATATAAAATATTCTGAAACATTTCATTTCAAATGAATATTACCGGGAAATATGTAACTTGTAAACATCAATATTTGTTCTGTCATGCAACTAAATGAGGATTGTCGAAGCACTTAAAATGTTATGCACTATTTGTGAAGTGGTAGTGCAAGTTCATTGAATAAAACCACAAAAACAAAATGTAATTCGTTATTTCCATTAAGTAAATTGGTGTTCCCCGACTAGCGCCTCCGTCGCTTAATGACGCACAATCTAACCTGGAGGTTGTTAGCGAAAAAGTTATCAATAAAACTGACACATAAATATATTCCATGCTCTATTGTGATATGTTACACGCCTTCAAACGTGAGTTCTTCTGAAAAATACATATATAAACAATTATAGTCTAAATTGTTCTGGCAAGATTGTTTCTTTAATATTTTATTTATTTATTTTGTAATCTTACAGCTAACATAAATTATTTTGTATAAGAAAAAACAATTATACTAAAGATATAGCCACAGTTGAAAAACATAATATATACATAAAGGTTCTTTCAATATTCTTAACCTACATAGTAATAATAATAATTAAAATTTAATAAATATGAAATTGAAACAAATTTAGAAATTTGGCCCCTGGCAGAGTACCTTTAACTCTGGCAGCATTTCCTCGCTGTATTGTGATATTTAGTCTAAACTGTGTATCGCCGCTGAATTTCCCGCATATGTTGGCATTATAGAGAGTTGCCATATGAAAAGAAACGTCAAATTGGATACCAAATGTTTTTCTTTTACTGTTTCTAAAAGGTCAACAGACCTATACATTTACGGCTTGCTAAATAAACGGTGAGCAGTGTTGGCCTAGTGGCTTCAGCGTGCAACTCTCATCCCTGAGGTCGTAGGGACGATTCCCGGGCGTGCACGAATGGACTTTCTGTCTGTTTTTATCTTACACTGGCTGGCTAATCGACGACATATATTAGACAGAACAGACAGGGGCAACTAGAATCATCTTTATATTTTATTTGACGTTCAATAGTGCCATTTTAGGTGGTCTAATTAAAATAAATGATTTGACTTTTGAAGGCTACTTGCCAATTGAATAGACAAATGATCATGGACCAGACACAAAAATCTGATGCCCACTTAAAAAAGGTTGTAGCACCACTGATATATTTTATTTTTAATTAACCTACCTTAAAGCCCCTAGAATACGACGTCCAATCAATGTGATTCTCAGGCTATGTAGGATAATTGAAAATTGATTGAACCCGGTAATGATATTAACCCGCTCGTGGTAACGCTTTATGTCAATTGAACACTTATTAGTCCCCACCCACGCCTCACTGTTTATAGGCATTGCAAACTTGTGGCAATTCGATACCCGGACCTTTGTTAATTGGACTTAAGGTCCAACGATCACATGTGATATTAAGGTAAAGTATTTTTTAGTATTCATCGCTTCTATATGGATATGTCTCACTCCCTAAATGTGGAAACATAGTTTCAGTTTCATCATCGGACGTCGAGGCAGAATACGAAATTCCACCTCTCAAAGTCCGTCGTTACACAACTGAATGTTTTAAAAGCAGTTTTTGCTACTCACCTATGTGGAACCAGCTGCCCACTGAGGTATTTCCGAACCAATTCGACCTAGGGTCCTTCCAATACTTAAAAGGCCGACAACGCACTTGCAAGCCCTCTGGCATTAAGAGTGACCATGGGCGGCGGTATCACTTACTCGTATCATCAGGTGAGCCTCCTGCCCGTTTAAAAAAGTGATATGTATGTATAAAATTGATACATTCTTATAGCTAGTTTATAAAACTATGTACGCCACTTAAGTGGAAAAAATGCTACACAAGAAAAGAGTGTCTTCTTCTTAATAGAGACTAAGGTTTTGGATACTTTCTTTTGTTAAATATCATTTCATGTAAATTAGGTTAATTTTAAAGTACTAATTAGTCTTAAGTTAGGTTTAATAGTGATGTTTAATGATGTCTTTGTGCAGAGACATAATTTTATACAAGAAAAATGGACGCCACAATTAAGTTTTCCAGATCGCACGACAGCCTATATGGTAAGATTCAGCGTCGGTACTCTGGAACTTTCAGCGACAGCGATGCCGGTGTAGTCATTTTTGTATGCAATTCTATGTAGCGCGGTATAAAAACTCAATATTGTAAACGTGATCTATTCGCTGTTGCTATTGGATTATATTATAAGGTGTGATTGAGGAACGAAACTAACGCGAACTATGCAGAAATCCAATACATTTTTGAGTTACGGAAGTTGACTTAGCGTTTCTGAATTTTACTCTAGCGCTTAGTACGTCAGAAACGTACCTATAGGATTTTAATTATATGTATTTTTTTCTAAGAAATTATAAATGATTGAATTCATTTACATTTGTTTGATTGTATACCTTAGTATAGTTTGATACAAACTCAATTTTAAATCATCCACATTCAATTTTGACAAATTTTTAATTTCGAAGTAGTAGCATGTGAGACGTCATGTGCCTAGTTAAAGGTTAAAATATGGTAGTTATAGTTGGCGCCAATTCGACTCCGAATCTTTCTAAACTTAACTCACAGGGTTTTAAATATCGTATTTTTTACCATACCCGTGGGTTAATTGTGGTACACTCTATGATTGTTATTAATACTTTCTTATAACACAGGTCGATTCATGCTTAGAAGTAATGTAATCAAAGGTCCTTCTTCTTCTATTTGACACCTCTATCTATATCTTATACTCCAGAAAAAATCCTGTATTTTAAATAAACACTTACACGAACAAAATCCACATTTCGTAAAGTTTACTAAGCCTAAGGACTCGTCACTGGCAATAGAAATGTTAAAACATTGGTGTAAAGGGCCAGTTGTCATAATGCTTTTTAACGGTACCTAAATAAATTAATGGTGTAGGTATGTGCCCTTATAAAATGTAAATATTATGATTGCCATACATGACACACATTGTTTGCAACGTAATTGGCTCTCAAAACAAGCTATTGTTTATCGCTACGTTTTAAAGTATTTGAAGTTTGAATAATTTTGAAATGCGCTTATTTCGTGAAACGAAAACGTTCTATACTTACTTTACATAAACAATTATTTGTTGATCACAGTACATTGAATTTTGAAGTGATTTTTAGGCGATTGAGGGTAAAAATTTTACGGAACGTCACGAAGATGTGCAGCGTTTTTGTCGAAGAAAAGAATTTCTATTTTTATTTTAGTATGCAAATATCAAAATTTTATAGATATAACTATTAGACTTTATATTTTATGCAAAATAATTTATTGAAATCTCAAATGACTCGAATAAATAAATGTAAAAATTAAATTAATAATTTGCATTAATTTTCGACACTTTCAGTATTTTAATGACAATTTAATTTATTAAATTCCTAACATAATATCTTCCTTTTCCCTCCCTCTAAGTCTCGGAAATCTAAAGTTTTAGATTTGTATAAATCGACGTAGGAAAGCATATTTGCTGTAAGTAGACAAAATACCTAAAGTGACTTTTTACTGCCATTAGAATCAGAAAAAAAAACCGCATCGAATGTCCCGGGTCCTGTGTCTCTACGATGAAAAAAAATTTACATACGCGGTTGAAAACGCCTGTACTTATATTTTTTTTAGTAAGATTAAATGCTGTATGTAGACCAAAATCCAGTCATTTTAGACAATTTTTACTTACAGCAAAAGAAAATCTGCATTTTTTACTTTACAAATACTTACTTCTTCCCATTTAAAAACTTAACGCTACTTACAGCATTTCTGCGGCGTGTGATTTTTACATTCGTTTACTTACAGCAAGCTTAGGGAACCTACAGTTTTAGTTTTTTTTTACCATTTACGACATTTTATTTCAACCAAACATTACATTACCAAATGACCCACTGCATTTCTAGATCTAATCATAATTATAAACTAATCTTACATCTTGAATTGCAATTGAAAGTACCCAAATA